AATCTCTCTGACCTGAGAAAATCCCATTATTTTCATCAACATCTGTTGAAATTAGGTGTAACGGACAGGAAGTGAGTGAGGTGGGAGGAGCTACTTGCCCAATAAAACCGGCCGGCTTGCTGGTCGACCTCACTCCACAGCTGAGCCTTCAAGTGAAGTAGCCAGAGCCCAGAAGGGGATTTAGTGTCTGAGAGGTGAGTCAATCTGAGGGGATTTCGTTTTCACTTTCAAATGTCTACAGAAAGGCTTGGGAATCGAGGGACCTATCGATTCAGCAGGTGCTGTCTGGGGCCAACTCAAGGCCAGGCATGGCGTGGACACCGAGGGACAGGGGCCTCTGATGGGAGCGGTAGGCAGGACTCGGCGATTCAGGACCAGGTGGGAGTAAGAATTTGATCATCAGGTCCGAGCTTGGCGGACTCTGAGGCGGTGCGAAGCGTGTCCCCCACGGGCTTCCTCCGCCTCTCGGGTTCCGCTGTGGGTTTCCACCCCATGGGGGGGCGGGGCGTGGGCAGCGGGGAGACGCGGAGGGTTTCAGGTCTCAGCCAGCACTTCCCACTGGATCTATCAGGGAACCCCGAATTGTCGTTGTAAACTCATGTTCTAGTAGCCCCATAAGCAAAGACTAAGGAAAGCGACCCAGGTCCGCCTGGGGCTTAGTGGTTAGAGCAGCTGCCCTCCCTCCCAAGGGACTCGGGTTCGATTCCCAACACATGTGGAAGCCTAAAGAAAAATTAAACGCTAATTTTCTCCTGACAGGCAGGTGTAGATCCTTCCAACAGGGAATCAATTTGGGGAGGGGGGGCGCTGTGCAGGAGAGAGCGCACATTCTTTTTTTCTTTTTTAAATATATTTTATTGATTTTTTAAAAAATATATTTTATTGATTTTTTACAGAGAGGAAGGGAGAGGGATAGAGAGTTAGAAACATCGATGAGAGAGAAACATTCATCAGCTGCCTCCTGCACACCCCCTACTGGGGATGTGCCCACAACCAAGGTACATGCCCTTGACCGGAATTGAACCTGGGAGCCTTCAGTCCACAGGCCAACACTCTATCCACCGAGCCAAACCGGTCAGGGCGAGAGCGCACATTCTTTCCTTCTGGTCTTCAAAATCTTAGGCTGCACGCATTTCACTGTGGCTAAGCCCCACCCCAACCAGCGTGTTGCACCTCAGAAGTTCAGGGCTTGGAGCCATTTCTATTGGCCCTTCGATTGCATCCCCCTCACCCAGGGGTCCTGGTTGCAAATGTCTATCCTAGAAAGAGGAGGCGGCCCGGGACCCATGAGTCCCTCTCCCTCAAGAGCGGCTCACCGCGCCCGCTCCCCCCCTCTTACCCCCCAGGCGGCGGCCATGGCCCAGCACTTTAAGGAAGCCGCCCGCTGCCCCGTCTGCCTCACGTACTTTGAGGACCCCGTGAAGCTCAAGTGCGGCTACATCTGCTGCCGCCGGTGCCTGCGCGCCTTGCCCAAGGAGCCGGGCGGCCAGGGGGTGCGGTGCTCCAACTGCTCCAAGGTTTCTCAGACGGCCGACATCAAGCCCAACAGAGTGCTGGGCAGTCTGGCGGCCAAGGCCAAGGCGATGGAGCCCCAGCTGGCATCCGTCCTGCAGATGGACCCCAAGATTCGCAAGTTCCACGGTGAGACCTCTGGGCGCCCTGCCCCGACCCAGAGGGAAGGCAGTTTCTCGAGGACCGGTGACAGGCGGGGCTCCCCTGGCGGCCGCACCTGGAATGTTCATTCTTTCCCAGTGTCTCTAGCCCGAGTGTCTACATGACAACCGGCTGTAGGTTTATAGGGAAATATAACGCTGCATCGCCCTAGACCTGGGCTCTCCAATAGTCCAGTCGCCCACTGGAGACGGGCACAGACAGAAACTGATTTTGCGTGGACTGGGATGTTACAGACCCGAGTCTCGTTCTCGTTCATCGTTTCTAAGAAACTTTTTAAAACTATATTTTTAGCCGAAACCGGTTTGGCTCAGTGGATAGAGCGTCAGCCTGCGGACTGAAGGGTCCCGGGTTCGATTCCGGTCAAGGGCATGTACCTGGGTTGCGGGCACATCCCCAGTGGGGGGCGTGCAGGAGGCAGCTGATCGATGTTTCTCTCTCTCATCGATGTTTCTGACTCTCTATCTCTCTCCCTTCCTCTCTGTAAAAAATCAATAAAATATATTTTAAAAAAAACTATATTTTTATTGATTTCAGAGAGGAAGGGAGAGGGGGAGAGAGAGAAGCATCAATGATGAGAATCATGGATCGGCTGCCTCCTGCGCACTCCCCACTGAGGATCGAGCCTGCAACCTGGGCATGTGTCCTTGACCAGAATCTAACCCGGGACCCTTCAATCCGCAGGCCGACGCTCTACCCACTGAGCAACACCAGCCAGGGCAAGGAAATTTTTTTAAGTATCTTTTCTATTTACTTTTAAGTTACAGTGGACATGTAATAGCCAGTTTGGCTCAGTGGAAAGAGCGTCGGCCTGGGGACCCTTCAGTCCCCAAGTTCGATTACGGTGAAAAATAAATTCAAACATTTAAAAAGAGCCCCAGCCGGTGGGGCTCACTGAGAGGAGCACCAGCCCAAGGGGCGGGGATTCAGATTCCCTTCAAGGGCACCCACCTGGGCTGAGGGCTCCCTCCGCCAACACTGTCCCAGCCCCTCTGGAGGCAGCCAGTCGACCTACATCAATGCTTCTCTCTCTCTCTCTCTCTCTCTCTCTCTCTCTCTCTCTCTCTCCCCAGTCCCTCCCTAGCTTGCACTCTAAAAAGCAATGGAAAAAAGATCCTGGGGTGAGGATCAACACCATCCACCAAATTAAAACAGTGCGCCAACAGGGGTGTGGGGTATCAATCCCCAGTAGGGGGCGTGCAGGAGGCAGCCAATGCATGTTTCTCTCATGGCTAATTCTCTACCTCTCCCTCTCCTTTTCTCTCTCTAAAAATCAATAAAAACATTTGTTTTTTTTTTCATTAAAAAGGAAAGAAAGCAAACAACAAACGCCACTGGTCTGTGGGGGGCAGGGTTCATGCCTGAGGCTGCTCGGGCTCCCTGCGCAGGTCCTGTGAGGACGCCCGCTCTCCCTGCCCAGCGAGAGGGTCGGAGCAGGAGGCCCGGCCGCGCAGACTCAGTCTCCTTCCGCCGCCCCATCGGGTCTGGGTCCAGGTTGCTGCTGAGGTCCTGACACATCCTAATGTCAGGACTCCGAGCACCTCCTGTTCCCTGTTCATTGTAACTGCAGTAAAGCGCCATGGCCTAGTCACCAACAGCAAGTGAGGAAGGTAGCTGTGTTTATAAAGACAGGGTAAGCCCTCGCCGGTGTTCCTCAGTGGATAGAGCCTCGGCCTGCAGACTAAAGGGTCCCAGGTTTGATTCCTGGTCAGGGCACATGTGTGGGGCATTGGGGATTGAAGGCAGCCAATCAATGATTGGCTGATTGTCTCTCATCATGGATGTTTCTATCTCTTTCTCCCTTTCCTTTCTGAAGCCAGTAAAAAAAATATTTTTTAAAAGAAGAGATCAGAGAAAGCTTTAATGTTTAATGTCAATATCATTCTGCAAGAAGTAAAATATTTTCCATCCTTTGAAATTTGTGATAATCTGCATGATAATTTTTTTATTGATTTCCGAGAGGAAAGGAGAGGGAGAAACATCCATGATGAGGGAGAATCATTGATCAGGGCCCCTTGCCAGGCTGTATGATAATTTTGAGAACAAATGGCACTCGTGGTCTATTTTTCGTGTGTTTTTCTTACTAAAGAGAAAAGAAGTCCCACCCAGCCCGGGTGGCTCAGTAGTTGGGCATCGACCTATGAATGGAGGTCATGGTTTGATTGTCAGTTGGGGCAGATTCTCAGGTTGCTGGCTTGGTCCCCCAGTAGGGGGCGTGCAGGAGGCAGTGATTCCCTCTCATTGATGTTTCTTTCTCTCTCTCCCTCTCCCTTCCTCTCTGAAATCAATAAAAAAAAATTTTTTTAGCCTAGCCCGTGTGGCTCAGTGGTTGAGCGTTAACTTATGAATCAGGAGGTCACAGTTCAATTCCTGGGTTGCAGGCTCCATCCCCTGTAGGGGGCATGCTCTCTCATCATTGATGTTTCTATCTCTCTCTCCCTCTCCCTTCCTGAAAGTAATATATTTATTAAAGAAGAGAGAGAGAAGAAAAGTCCTTACTCAATTGAATCACTTAATGTCAAGAGAATACCTACGATGGACAAAGACTAGCTCCTCGATTAGAATCATTCCTCCTGTAGATAAAATTCTATTGAATCCGGAGCCAGGGAAGTCTCCCCAGGAAAATGCCCACTGCAGACAGGAAGGTGTGGGGGCCTTGGCAGTGGCCAGGAAGGGGGGGCCCAGGGCGTGCACCTGCTGAGTCCACCCTTTCTCTCTCCACAGTGGACATGACCTTGGACGTGGACACCGCCCACAACTACCTCACCATCTCCGAGGACCTGCAGCGGGTCCGCATCGGGGGTCTCCCACAGGGGCGCCGAGCCCACCCTGGGAGATTCAACGACTCCCCCTGCGTCCTGGGCTCTCCCCGCTTCACCTCGGGTCGCCACTACTGGGAGGTGGACGTGGGGAGCAGCCGGCAGTGGAGCCTGGGCCTCTGCAGGGAGTCGGCGCCCCGGCAGGGCGAGGTGGTCCTGTCCGCGGAGCTGGGCTTCTGGACCGTGAGCTGCCAGGACGGGAACCAGTTCATCGCCGGCACCGAGCCCCCCTTGGGGCTCATGGTCCAGCCCCGCCTGCGCTGCCTGGGCCTCTTCCTGGACGTGGAGATGGGGACCTTCTCCTTCTACCACGTGGCCGATGGGTCCCACGTGTTCACGTTCCCCATTTCGGCTGAGGAGCCCCTGCGCCCCTTTTTCGGGCCTGTGGATTGCACAGGGGATGCTGAGAGCTGGCTGGCCCTCTGTCCCTGAGTCCCCGCTGGGCCGGGGTGGGGGGAGGGTCCAGGGAAGCCCGGAGCTTGGGGACACGGACACGGGCTACCTGCGTGCTCACCGCGACCAGCGTGCCTGCCTGTGACCCGTGCGCCACGAGTTGCAGCAGAAAACCGTGGCCGAGTCCCTGAAGGCCCAGCGGAAATTAGTCATGTCGGCGGGAAACCGGCCTCCCGGGTGCGGTGTGGTTTCGGTGGTGCCATTTGGGACTGCGTATCTGATTAGCTAATAAACGTGTTCTGAATTTGCAGATCCAGGGCCAAACGCTTCGCTTTTTTCTTTGAAGTTGGTATGGAGAGGAGGTTAGAGACTAAATAAAACGCTGGATGTGTGCTGAAACCGGTTTGGCTCAGTGGATAGAGCGTCGGCCTGCGGACTGATGGGTCCCGGGTTGGATTCCGGTCGGGGGCATGTACCTGGGTTGTGGACACATCCCCAGTAGGGAGTGTGCAGGAGGCAGCTGATTGGTGTTTCTCTCTCATCGATGTTTCTAACTCTCCATCCCTCTCCCCTCCTCCCTGTAAAAAAACAATAAAATATAAACACACACACACACACACACACACACACACACACACACACACACACGGCCCTAACTGGTTTGGCTCAGTGGATAGAGCGTCGGCCTGCGGACTGATGGGTCCCGGGTTGGATTCCGGTCGGGGGCATGTACCTGGGTTGTGGACACATCCCCAGTAGGGAGTGTGCAGGAGGCAGCTGATTGGTGTTTCTCTCTCATCGATGTTTCTAACTCTCCATCCCTCTCCCCTCCTCCCTGTAAAAAAACAATAAAATATAAACACACACACACACACACACACACACACACACACACACACACACGGCCCTAACTGGTTTGGCTCAGTGGATAGAGCGTCAGCCTGCGGACTGAAGGGTCCTGGGTTCGAGTCCGGTCAAGGGCATGTTCCTGGGTTGCAGGCACATCCCCAGTGGGGGGGTGTGCAGGAGGCAGCTGATCGATGTTTCTCTCTCATGGATGTTTCTAACTCTCTATCCTTCTCCCTTCCTCTTGGAAAAAATCAATAAAATATATTTTTAAAAAATAAAAATAAAACACATAAACGGAGCCTGGCTCGTATGGCTCAGTGGGTGAGCATCTACCCACGAACCAGGAAGTCCTGAGTTCGATTCCTGGTCAGGGCGCATGCCCAGGTTGCGGGCTTGATCCCCAGTAGGAGGCGTGCAGGAGGCAGCTGATCCATGCTTCCCTGTCATCATTGATGTTTCTCTCTCTCCCTCCCTCTCTGTAATCAATATGTTTTTAAAAAATTCAGGGTGGAGCCCTGACTGGTTTGGCTCAGTGGATAGAGCGTCGGCCTGCGGACTGAAGGGTCCCAAGGGTTCGATTCCGGCCAAGGGCATGTACCTTGGTTGCGGGCACATCCCCAGTTGGGGGTATGCAAGAGGCAGCTGATCGATGTTTCTCTCTCATCGATGTTTCTAACTCTCTATTCCTCTCCCTTCCTCGCTGTAAAAAATCAATAAAATATATTTTTTAAAAAATTCGGGGTGGAAAGCGTGTCAGCACATGGGGAGTGTGGTTGACCGGCCGGAGGCACAACCGGGTGGCAGGTGGCGGCTCGGAATCCACCGGTGTGGCTGCGTGTCCATTGGCTTTACTGACAAGCAGCCCGAGTGGGGAGTCGCTGCCTCGGCACCGAGGGAGGCGGGGGAGAGGGGTTTGAGGACTAAACACACGAAAGGCCTCTGCCCCGGCGGGAAGGACCCTGGGCACCAGCCCGCGGCGGGACCTGCCGGGGCAGGCTGAGCGGGGCTGCGCTCGGAGCTGGGATCTGGGCGCTCGGGAGTCCCCGCAGAAGCGCCCACGCACGCGGGAAGGCTGCGGCCGAGAGGCCCCGGAGCAGGCGTGGGAGGCAGACGCGGTGGCCGGTGCGTGGGCCGCGCCCCGGGACCGCCCCGCCGCCTGGAGGCCGAGCTCCCAGGCGCCGGCCGGAGACTGACCTGGTCTCGGGCGCCCCCTGCCGGCCGCAGACCGCACAGCGCCCGCCCCGGGCCTGACCCCGGTGGACCCGCAGCCCCGCCCCTCGGCGGGCGCCTGTCCACTCCCGCCGTCTGGACAGGGGCCGCCCTGGGCAGAACCGCACCCCCATGACCCTTCACGGCCCATAAAGGCCGGGGTGGCCTGACCCCAATCCCGACATCTGACCGCGCGGGCCCTGGAGACGAAATGGAAGAAAAAGGGAGGCACGCGAA